TCCTCCCAACCCCGTCTGCCCCCCCCACCTCTCTCTTTCTGTCTCTCTCTCTCTCCCCCTCTCTCTCCCTTTCTCTCCTCCCCCTTTTCCTGCCTCTCTCTTTCTCTCCCTTCTTCCTGTCCCTGGTTCCACTCACTTCTGCCAGTCCCTCCCATGTGGATTCTTGGCTCTTCCTATCACATTTAGGCACGGAGGGCTCTAGGTCTGGGGGCCACAGGGGCACTCTGGATCCTGGGCTCCCTCTGGGTTTTCTCCTCTCTGGTCTCAGCTGTCCCTAATCTCTTGGTTTTCACATTGCTAAAACTTTCTCTCCTCTCTCTACTCTTGTCTCTTTGGTGTGTATATGTGGGTGCGTGCCTCAGTTTCCCTGGTACATTCCCTCAGTGACCATCAGCACCCCTGCCGTGTGTCAGCCCCAGCCCCTGGGGGAGTCACACATGGCCCCTTCCTGTCTTGCCCTTCTACCCTCTCTGACCCTTCTTACTCCAGCCCTCTCCCTGGCAGGACAGGGTCTCTGTGGTCCAGGTCTCTCTGCTGCCCCCAGTGTTTTACCCTCCAGTTTGTGGGGTTCTGAGAAGTCTGGACTCCGGAGCAGATTCTGCCGCTGCCATGGAGATCTCATGAAATCCTCAGGATGCTGGTGGGGAATGGGGGGTCCTTGTGCGTTCTCTCCCAAATGCAGTGCTGAGAAATGCAGGCATGGGTAACGGAAGAGGAACCCAGAGCCTTGGAGTGGGAGGGCAGCCTGGGGGACTTGCTCATAGCCGGGCCAGGCTAGTGAGGTGCCTCTCCCTGATCCAATCTCTGGGTCTGAACCAACTTCCCTGTCATCTCAGGCTTGGGGCTGGGAAGCATTGAGACACAGGGGTGGGAGGGGGAGGCCCCACCCTTACAGTCACCTGCAGGAGCCCCTACTATGCTGGGAAGATCCAGTCTCTGCCCTCAGGGATCTCCTGGGAAAGATAGTCCTCTTCTCTCTGCCCTTAACAACTTTGTTCCAGAGGCAAATAATGGTAGATGCTGAAGCGGGTGGTCCAAATAGACCCCAACCCCAATAGCTAGAGCTCTGAACCTGTGCTTGGGAGGGGACTGCTGGGAAAAGACTCTGGGATGGGTGTGGGAGTCAACTTAAATGGAAAAGGTAGGCTGGGTGGGGAGCTGGCAGCCTGGAAGGGGGTCAGCAGAGCTGGAGTCAAATAAGGGTTATAGGGTAGAGGCCAGGGTCGAGGCCTTGAAGAAACAGGAGGAAGCAAGAGTTTGGGTTCTTCTGGATTAGAACAATAGAAAACCCAGTTTGATTCGTTTTTCTACTTTTTAAAAAAAGATTTATTTATTTATGCATACAAGAGCTGGGGTTCAGGACAGAGATGGGGGGAGGGGGTTGAGAGTATTCACCAGAGACAGAGTGGGGAACAGAACAGGCAGATTGACTGAAATACACTGCTGAGGGGAGCAGCGGGTAGGACAGGTGAGGTCTGCTGCACCATGTGGGTTTCTCTCTGGCCTGGGGATCAACTTAAAACTCGTGCTGCAGAGGCTGCGGATTGCTTCATAGTGTGGTGCTTAACCCCTTGCACCACCAGGGAGGCCCTTCATTTTTCCATTTCTATGCAAAGCACCACCAGCCGCCTCCCACCCCAGCCAGAGCACAAGAACCATTCTTGGCAACTTCATTTTTCTCACTCCTCTCACCTCTAATACATCACTGAGTCTGCATCCTCCTCCCCCCAAATTGCACCCCCCTCAGTCCCTTCCACTGGATTTCTCTCCTCCTGTACCCAGATCATCTCACCAGCCTCCTGCTGGCCCTTTCTTCACTCCATCTTTTCTCTAGTCCATCTTCTGACAGCCAGAGGGAACTTTTGAAAACACAAAGGGGATACCTCCCCATCCCCCCCTTTTAAATCCTCCCATAGCTTCTCATTGCTCTTAGAATAAGCTGAAGAGCACCTACAATGTTCCATGCCCTCAGGCTCTGCACCTTCGGGCCCTGAGCCCCCAGTGGTCCACAACCCAGGGTTGGGGACTTTGCACAACCCCAGAGTGTCCACAGGGCCTTAACCCTGTGGTCCCTCTGCCCGGAGTACTTTCTCCTCTGTTGTGCCCACTAAGTCTGCAGGGTCCACCTGTCTTGTCCTCTCAAGGGCCTGGTCTCCCGACACCTCTGCCCCTTCATTCTGCAGGCCCCTCCATGACCCTCTCTCTCTGCTTCTCTTTCCCTTCATAGCATTTGCCACAGTATGTGTTGATATATTCAGTGGTGCATTTACTTTTAGTCATCCGTCTTTCCCCACTAAAGGTCTGTCCCCCACCCCTAGCCCCCACAAGGGCAGAGATCTTATCCATTTTCTTCCTCTCTGTGTCCCAGTACTAGCAGGGTGCCCAGCTTGGAGGAGGGAGGCTCTGGAAACAATAGTCAGATGAATAGTTGGGTGGATAAATGAAAGGCCCCCTCACCTCCCCCACCCCATGCTCGGAGAGGGGCCTCGCTTACCCAAGGACTCCAGACATTGTCTCCCTGTCTCCTTGTCCCCCACTCCCTGGTCCTGACCTTCTGCCCTCAGCTACAGCTGTGGCTTCTCCTGGGACAGGAGCGGTAGGCCCTGCCCCAGGGCACCCTGGTCTTTCAGGGGAGGAGGCTCACCTGCCGACACAGGCTACAGAGGCTATGGAGCATGACCACCAGCTGTCAGCGCTGACAGAGGGTTTGGCCGCTTCAGGCTATGCCTGCCCAGGAGTAAAGCTATGGGGAAGCACTGGGTGCCCATAAGCAAAGGCAGTTTAGGGGCAGGAGGCCTGGCAGGGCCCACGCAGGCGCTGGGCAGGCCACATCTGAAGGGTCTCTCATACCCCTATGAACTTTATTCTGGACAAAAAGAGGGATTGAGACCCACCGCGACGGCCTGCGTTCGAGCCAAGCCAGGGAGCTGACCCACATGGCGCAGCAGACCTCTCCTGTCTTGCCCATTGCTCCCCTCAGCAGTGTGTTTCAGTGATCCACCTGTTCTGTTCCCCACTCTGTCTCTGGTGAGTCTTCTCACAGCCCCCCACCCCCATCCTGCTGGCCCTGCACCTCTGGTCTACACCCCAGTTCTACACAAAAATAAATAAAATCTTTAAAAAAGAAAAAGAGGGACTGAAATAAGTTTTTATTTTGCTTTTATTATTTTTTTTTAATAGAGGTATGCTTTATTTATTTATTTGTTTGTTTGTTTGTTTTTGTTTATACATGCACTGGGTACAGTCAGAAGAGCGGGAGGGTGAGAGAATTCACCAGAGCGGGGAGCAGAGCAGGCAGAAGGACCGAAGTACACTGCTGAGGGGAGCAGCGGGCGGCAGGAGAGGTCTGCGCGCCATGTGGGACCCTCCTCTGATGGCCGGGGAGCAGCCGGGGATCGAACCGGCACCTTGGAGGCCGCGGGCAGCTTCACAACCCAGCGCTCAACCGCTGCGCCACCAGGGAGGCCCTGCTTTTATTATTTTTTAAACAGAACGTAATAACATTTATGTTTTGAAGGATCCCCCTGACTGCATTATGGAGGTAGTGGTTTTTTGAGCACTTACTGTTACTAGTGCTATATACTTAGTAAAATTTATTTTACTTGTTTCATAGCAAAGGTGAGGTAGATGTTTTATATAGTTGCTATTTTGTAGACTAGAGCAACCAGTTGCTGAGACTCACAGCAACTATCTTCACTGGAAAACCACTGCTTCCCATCCCACAGGACTCTGGTGGGCTTGGCGGTCTACAACACTGCCCCTCCTGTCCCTTGGCCATGGCATAGTGTGAGGGCCAGGCCTGGCCAGGCATCGGGACCCTTGACCTGCCAACAGCAACTAGTCCATGGGGTGGTCATGTGATACAAGCAGAACCAAATTCAACTCTTCTGAGATGCTGAAAATGTGGTCCCTCTTCTTTTTGGACCTCATATTGTAACCTTTGGGCATCTAAAGTATTTGCCAGACTTGGAGCAAACTATGTGATAGGATTGAATGTGACCAATGCACCAGAGGGGTGGAGGTAAGCAGGATGCATGTGAGAGAGGCTGGTGATATTGTTTGAGGCTCTGGATCTGGCACACCTGAAGCAAGACCAAGCTGAGTCCCAAGTACATGAGCCATTCAATTACATTATTTTATGTTTTAAAAAAACCCCAACAAACCCTAGGCCTCAAAGAAAGTAAGTCACCTGTCTGAGGTCACAAAATCAGTGAGTGGCACAACCACTCTTATTCCAGCGCCTGTACGCAGTCACTATCACGCCAAGATAAAGGAACCACCAGGCCAGGTGAGCCAGATGGGAGCTGCTGCTGCAGGAAACCAGGTGAGCGATGAGGAGGTCCGGGAAAGGAGGGCAGACTTTTGAGAGATTCATGGATTTCGGGGAGCAGTGTTATAGACCTGGGTGTGGAGTGTAAGGGAGAAAAATGGGAGGAGGGTCCAGGGGCTGGAGGATCTAGAAGCCAGGCAGGAGGGCTCGAGGCGGAGATGGCTTATCTGCTGCACTGAGCATGGACAGGCAGGACGAGACCTCTGCCAGGAGACCTGAGCCGGAGCAAGGCCAGCCTGGGGGTGACGATGAGCTCATCTGGCACCATGTGGGAGGCCAAGGCCAGATCTGGGGGTGGCCCAAAGATAGGGTTTGGAGAGGTGAGAAGGAACAATTGTAGGAGGAGGAGAAGCTGTGTCACCCTCACGGAAAACGTGGGCGGGAAAGGTGGGAGTCTGCACCTTGGCCCAGGGCCTGCTGAGAGGGGGAGGCCCGGTGACCTTGGGAGGCAGAGCGGGCACCAGGGAAGCTGGAGGAGGGGAGGTGGAGGTGATGCGCACAGATTCTGCAGCAGATGAAGGAGTGGGCAGAGCCAGAGGGAAGGACTCTCTCTGCTGGTCACACATCCAGGAGGCTGAAATGTCCCCTCTTTCCCACGCTGCCTCCAGGGGCCAATTGGAGCTCAGGCGACTGCCCCCTTCCCAGTGAGCCACAGACAGTCTTTGTTTTTTAAAACATTTTAATAAAATTAACCAATAAATATTCTACACCACGTAGGCTACAGGGACAAAGAGTGGAAGCAGAGGGCCCACTTGGGCCCTCAGGTCCCCTCAGGGAAAGAGATCTTGCTCTGGGCTGGTTTGGGGGGCGAGTGACTCTGGGATGGGTGATCCGGGCTCTCACAATCCATCCCTCTTTGTTGGTGGAAGGGAGGGAAGGAGGGACCAAAAAAGAGCCCCTTCAGGAGGCATCCCAGCACCCCCAGAAGCCAGCAGGGTTAGGGGAGAACTAGCCTAGAAGGAAGGAATGGAGGGGGCAGGGGTCGGGGTGGGGGGCGGCCCATGCTCAGCAGGGAACACGGGCTGGTGGTGAGCCAGGGCGGCTCTTGGACTCGCGGCCACTCACTCTCGAACGTAGACCCTGGTGCACACAACATCATCCGCGGTCATGGTCTGGAAAAGATAGAAGTCATTGTCAGTCGGGGAGATCCCTGGGTCCTGTGACTGGGAACCAGGAAGGTTCTGCTTGACCTCTCCACGTCCAGACTGCTTCTCGGTTCAGGACAGATAGACTGGAGCTGGTCCGAATTTCTGGGCACCACAGAAAGGAGGTTGGCAGGGGCCCATCTGGCATCCTCCTCCCCAAGCCAGAAAAATCCCCTCCAGAAACATATTGGGGCCTCTCCATGCATGTCCTCTGCTCCACACAGAAGGGACGCCATTTCTCACCTGCACAAGGACATCGTGTGGGACAGTTAGCTTCGTTGTGCCCCAGCAGCCCCATCTGGAGCGGCGAGACCAGTCATGGTTGTCCTCCAACCTCCAGCACCAGGGAGAGGTTCAGAAAACCCCCTGAAGGCAGCATTGCATTTCCACCCACCTGGGAGGAGACAGGCCTTACCAGGATCAGCTCTTCATCATTGGTCAGTTCCCTGGTCCAGGAAGTCTTGGGACCCTCTCCCTTCAAAAGCCTCTGCTCGCAGACCATTTTGTTCTCACTCTCCCATTTCACCAGGCTCTGCAGGAGAGAGATGGCTGAGTGAGCAGGGACAAAGCAGCCCCGCCCGCCTGCTTAGGGCCCGCCCGCCTAGGGCCTTCGCCATTGGAAATGGAGAAAAGAATCCAGGAAAAGACTGAGAAATGTGGAAAAGTGTGCAGAGGTGGGGCAACAGATAGCTTGACGCTGAGGGACCCCAGCCTGGCACTCACCTTACAGGGTCTTCCATCCACAGTCTGCTCCTCAAACTCTTCCCCGATCTTAAAGTTGATCTCAGTGGTGCGCACGGTGGTCGAGGTTTTGATGTAGAAGGAGTCTCCCTCCTGTTTGATCTCCACGGCTGGCTTGGACGCCGCAGCCACTGCAATCTTCCTCAGCATCACATTCACCCCTGCAGGGAGAGGAGACCCTGTGCATCTCTAGGGGTGCTCCAGGCCCCTGTCTCATGCCCTCTGCTGGGACAGCAGTGCAGGCTGAATGTGAGTGTGGAGAGTGAGCCCGGGGGTCCAGGAAAGTACCTTCAAGGAGAATGGGTAGCCCAGCCCTGAAGGATGGTGGGGTTGGGGCGAGAGGGGCAGAACGGCAGTGCCCTGCCCGTAGGAGCCTGTTCCCAGTTACGCCCCACCTTGATGAGTCAGCAGGCCCGGATCGGGCTCCCCAAGTCTCAGGGCTTCACACTCAGAGTTCTCAGAGGCAGCGTCTCCAGATTTCCCTTTCTCAGCAGCATCCTGCTGTTGACTCTGCTCACCTCACTTTTGGCCCTTTGTCCACCCTGTTAGAGACCTCTTCTAGGGTAGGCACATCAGAATCACTGTGTGTATACCTGGCAGAGGCAGGGCAGACTCTCTGCAGCCAGGCCTTGCCCTGGAAGTTGGGGCCACCTTCCTCTCTGCCCTTTCCACCTTCCCTGTCGGGTGCAAGTTAGGCCTTTACTTGCCCAATCTCTGTCACGCCCCCAGTGAGAAGAGCTGGGCTTCCCAGCAGGGAAAGAGGTGGGGCAGCCGTTTCCCTCTGCTGCCTTTGGAACTGGGATTGTCCTGCAGCTTGGAGAAGCCAGGAGCTCTGGGCGCAAGATTCACTAGGCTATGATTTCCACCTGGCTCAGTCCCTCAGCAGGCTGGGTGACCCGGAACAAATGGTTTAAGCTGTCTGAGCCTTAGGTCCCTCAACTGTAAAATGGAAACAATAGTTTCTTCAAAAGCTTTTCCCATGGGACCTAGCATATAGTGTCAGGCACACCTTTATGTTTTCAAGAAATAATGGCTATGCTTATTGTTGCTATTATTTTTATTGAGAAAAGGAAGGCAAAGCCAGAGCCGCTCAAAGTTCCTTGCCTCAGATTCCTGCTTATTTGCCCTCCTGGAAGACTTCTATGCCCTTCACCCAACGGACTAAAAGGGACACTACCCTTCCCTGCCCTGAGGTGTCCCCAACTCCAGATCACACACCCATTTTGGTGGTCAGACTTTGTCACTCAGCCTCTAAGGATTCAATGTCCCTGTGCCCTGTCCCCATATCCTTTTCCAGATTTGACTCCCTGCTCCCCAGTTAATAAGAGGGTGGAGGACTCTGTTGCTGGTGAATCCTCTCTACCTCCCCCCGCCCCGCACCTCTGGCCTGCACCCCAGCTCTTGTATGCATAAATAAATAAATCTTTAAATAAATAAACAAACAAAATCTTTAAAAAAATAAATAAGAGGGTGGAGGACCCAAGAGAGAACACCTCTCTAACAGGAGACAAGCAGTCAGGGAGGCATCTCTCAGCCCCCAGCCCCAGGCCAGGGTCCTGGTCCAAGCTCCACATCACTTTAGCAGACCTGGCTTCCTACTCTGAGCCAGCACAGGATCCTTCAGGGAAGCAGTAGGTGTGGTAAGTGGGCAAAGCTGGGTTGTGCCAGGTGAGTGGGATTTCCCTGCCCTCAACTGCCCACACTCCCAGGCCTTCCTCCAGACCTGGGTTCCTAGAGAAACAAGTCCTGTGACACCAAAGCCAGTCCCCTCTGCTCTGGATTAAAAGGAGCAAGAGGGAGGAAGCCCTGCCCGCAGGAGTTCCAGAAGTTTCCCTGCGTGACTACTGACTTTTAGGTCCAGGGAGAAATAACTGATGTTCCAGCTTTAATTCACTTGGCAGAGGAGACTCATCGCACTTCATCTTGGAAGAGACCACTTCACCTGGGAAGTCTATCCTGCGCTCTCACACCTACCTCTCCTGTTACAGGAGCAGAACCTGCCACAACCACCCTACTGGATGGGACAGGTATTCCCCAAATACCTGAGCATCTCTTCCCAGGAGAGGGACCCTTGGATAGTGCAAAAGGAGGTAAGAAGGGATCTAGGTTTTTGTGGGGCCAGGCAAGGTTGGGAGGAGACACCCAGCCAGTCAGACTCTGCTGCCTTTGAAACTGGAGTTAGGCTAAGCTGACCTTGGATGGCTAACTCAGGACTGTGTTTGTGTAATGGGTCTGTTTTCAATCTGGCCCCCAGCAGGGCCTGAGGAGGACACGTGGCTCCCAGAGACCCCGCAGGGAGGACAAACAAACTGAAGACAGACAACAGGATTGGGTTTGGGATCTTATTCTCCTGCCAGGGACTGAGTGTTGCCACTTAGAAGAGGGGCCAGAATCCAGAAAAGATGGGGGAGGAATGGCATCTTGGCTTTCTGAAAGTAAAATTTTTATCCTTTTGGTCTTTTATTCCCACAAGAGCACAGCAAGGCTGACATGACTATATGAAGTATTGGGGTTAGATTATGAGAACTAACAGCAAAGAATGATGGAAATCACTGCTCTTCCCATAGGGTTTTTGACCCTTCTAAGGTCCAGACTCACTTCCATAGCTCCCTGCCCCTTCCCCAGCGCATTTGGGATCTCTCTGTTTAGTCCCGAAATCGATGGCATGCACACCCTTGGGCTCCAGGACTCCCAGGAGGCTTCTCAATTGCTGGGGTCCTGAACTAGCCTCCATCTCTCCCCAGAGGCCTCTCCTCCGCTGGTCCCAGCCTCTCCCCCTCGCCAGCCAGCCAGCCGAAGGAGTCTGGAAAGGCAGTCTAGGTAGGCGCAGTTCCCCACACCTTTGCCCAACAACGGCAACAGGGCTGAGGGGGGTCTCCAAGGAGGGAGGGAGAGAACTCGGAATTTCAGAAATGGGGGAGGTGTGGGTTTTCACACAAAGCCATTTGTTGAAATCTAAGAAAGTGATAATTATCCAGAGCGATTTGAGGACGCTGGAGCCGCTGGCTGTAGGAAAATATTTGTCTCACAGATTGAGGAGGGGTGGGGGTCAGAATGGAAAGTGCTGAAATTGGCAGAAAGGAAAAACAGGGATTTCTGGGGTGGTGGATCACCTGGATCACCTGGTGGGTGGAGCCCTGCGTTCAGAGGTAACGAAGGAACACGTACCCTGGGGATTGAGTTACCCGCGGGCGCAAGGGAATGGAGACTGGAATGTCTCTGAGGTGCACGGTTGTGTAGGGACCCAGGCTCCCAGCCTGGATGCAAGATTTTCAACTTTAGAACTGCGGAGTGGCCCCCTGTCCCGCCCCGAGGGGCACCGAGCTCGTGCATCTGGTTTCTACTTGATTCACAAGCTGAGTCACCGAGGAGCTGGCAACGGTGGGCGCCCCGCCGGGAAAAAAGCAGGATTTCGTTATCCCAGCCCAGCGCCCCAGGACCCAGGCGTCAGGCCCCTTTTCTTGAGGATGCAGGCGCCCAGCCTCCCACACCCTGATTTTAGCCCCCTCCCCTCTTTCTCATATTCACTCCAAGGACTCCGGAGCCTCTTTCTCCTCCGTGCACTGGAAAATCTCCTTACCCAGCACTTTGAGCAAATCCTCGAAGTTTTCCGATCGGATGATTTTCCAGTTGCCAGAGAAGTTGGGCATGGTGACGGCGTGGGAGATGGTCTCCTTAAACACTTCAGCTGGAGCACTGGACGTTGAGTCCTTTCGTCGAAAGAGGTAGCCGCTGCCTTCGCCCGATCGTGGGACTCAGAAGCCAGGACACGTCCCAGGACTACCCCAAAGCCGGCTGGGCTCCCGCGCTGGCAGCTTTTATACCCCGCGCGGGCCCGCCCCTGTGCAAGGATGGGTGGCCCCGCCTCTCGCTCCGCCCCCACCCCACCTGGGGGGCCAAGAGTCTCGGGTCTGCTTTACCACGACACCCCCTCGGGACGTCCTAGGGATTCCTAGCCCCGCGGGCGGTCCAAGGGTCTTGGGGGCCCTAGATACCAAGCTCCAGCGGCGGTGGGAAGATGGGGAAGCGGGTAGAGGGCGAGTACTGGGATTGGGCTCTCAACCCAGAGGAGCGGGCACCAGGCCCAAGGCGCGGATGCTGGGGCCTCAGGTCCTGTGGTCGGAGATACCGGGCCACGTTTGCCCCCAATCCTGACTCGATGCTGTGGACTCCCTGGCGCCGCCCAGGGACACCGCCAGGGGGTGAAACCCTGCTTGCGAGCCACCGCGGGGGAGCAGAGTGCGCAGCCCCGCTCCAGCTCCCCTGGAGTCTGGATCCAGGGCGACCGATGGGAACTCAGAAACCTTTTGGGGAGACCTGGGGTTTCTAGGCCAGGCACCTAAGTGAAGCAACGGCGCCCCCTGCTGGAAAGACTCCAAGAGGCTGGGAGGGGGCAGCACCCCAACCCGACCCCGACCCCCAGTCCCGTTTCTGGCTCCGGCGGCGCCTGGGGACTGTGGAAGCTGACGCTGAAAGACTCATTCTCCTTAAGGCGTGGCGGGCAGCGAAGGGTTAAGCCTGAGCCCCGGGCGCGAGGCTGGAGAGGGCAGAGGTCACCGCCAATCACTTGACACGAGCTCATTATTAAGGCGCTTTCTCAGACGCTAGCCTCCCAGACCCCCGGGGCATCGCAGTAGGAGGCAGGGAGGGAGGCGGGGATAGAGGCGCGCCGCGGGGCCCCCTAGATTGGGGGGAGACTGGGTGCCCGGGAAGGGGTGGAGCAGGGTCTCAGGTGTCACCTTTCAGAGCTGTAAAGCGGGCGGAAGGACCGGCCGCCCTCGGAGACTGTCTTTGAAGTGGGAGATCAAAGGGGGGTCGGGCACAGTTCCCCGGAGAGACGCAAGTGGGAATGGGCGAGACCCCAAGCGAGGCCGGGTGACCGAGAAACGAACGCAGGCTCGGCGGGGACCCTCGGAGACAGCCTGGGAGACCCCGGGCAGAAGCGGCGCAGGCGCGGAGCCAGCAGGATGCGGGCGGGGGCCCGGGGTGGAGGGCGCGCGAGCCGGCCGAGCCGTCGGGGCCGCGGAGGGGCGCAGGTCCGCCGAGCCGGCCGCGGCCCAGTTGCCCTCGGCGAATTCGCGCACGTGGCCCGGCTGCCCAGACCGCGCCTTCCGCCCACCCCCTTCCAGCTCCTTCCGAGGCGGGACGAAAATCTCAACATCTGGTCACAGTCCTGGGTCCTTGCCCAGGCCCCTCCCTGCCAGCGTGGCCCTGGGTGGAGCCCAGGACAGGCTTTCTGAGATCCGGAGCGCTTTCCCTTAGAGCCGCGGAGCCGTCTAGGGGGTTGTGGGCCTTAGCAGCAGGGAGTCAGGGGAGTAGAGCCAAAGGAGAGGGCTGCAGCCGTCCCCGCGGTGTGGACAGCTGAAAAGCCTGGAGGACCAGCTGGAGGCCGAGGCTCTGCTGTAGAGGGAAGAGCTCTGAACAGTGAAAGCGTGGAAGAAATAAAGCAGCTAGGGCGTCTGCAGCAGGAGGGATGGAAACTAGATTGGACAAAGGATTTCTTGATGGCGCCCCACCCAGCAGTAGCCTATAAACTGTCAGATTTGAGGAAGGGAGCTGGAGGCTTCAGTGTGGTTTTAAGTGTCCTGGTTGGGTGTGGGAAAGCTGATTTGGGGGTGGGGGTGACCTGGGCATCTGGAAGTAAAAAGGCAGTAGGAAGAGCAGCTTTCTGAGGAGGGACAGACAAAAGCAGAGGTGGTGGAAGGGAGGTGGTCTCTGGAGGGTGCTTAGGGTCTGGGGTTGCAGACTCCGACTGTGCCCCTCCCCCACCCACCCAGCTCAGCAACGCTGTAGGTAAAGGGAGGGGGATTAGATTCTGACAGTGAAGTCAGGCTCCCAGCCAAAAGGATGAAGAGAGGCTGGGGGAGGGAACATGGAGGAAACCAGACTCCTGCTGCCCCTCCTTCCCCCTCACTGCTCCCTACCTCTCCCACCCAGGTCCCTACATCCATCTCCACTCCACCCCCCTCCAGCCCTCTTTGCACCCACCCTGGCCAGCCCCGCTCAAAAGGCATCCCTCCTACTGCAAAAGGACAGTGCGACCCTCCTGCCCAGCCTTCTGGCTAGGCATGTTAACCACTACCCAAAAGATGGTCATCACTGGGGACCCAGACCTGCGGACCAGGGAGGCAGGAATGGTCTGGCACTGAGGATACTGGGGAGACTGGAGGGGAGATCCTTGGGGCTGAGGCTGGGAGGCCCGGTCTACTCCCCTCCCTTCACTTCCCCACTCCCCCTACTGGCCAGCTGGCCAGAATTTCCAAAGAGACAGAAGTAAGACAAAGGGAAGTTGGGCTGGGAGGGGAATTTTTTCCAGATGTGAGTGTTTGTGGTTTGGCAACCCTGAGCCTGAGCTCCAGCCCCTTCATCCCAACCCAGACTGAGGGAGGTGGGTAGACGGTGCAGAGCAGGGCTCTGGCGGGCTAGGGCTGGGGGGCTAAGGCTGTGGGGCTCAGCCTCCGGCTGCCCTGTTACCTCATGGGAGGATGTAGGCCTGGGGGGTGGGGTGCATAGCGAAGATGCAGGGGAAGGAAGGGGAGGGGAATGGGGTGATCAAAGAGGGCTGGGGCACTGGGAAGGGGGGCTACCAGAGGAGGATGGGGGAGCCCTGGGGCAGAGGGAGGAGCTTCACGGCATCAGTCCCTCAGTCACAAACAACTGGCTTTAATTTCCCGCCGGGATCAATAAGGAGAAGGAATTTCCCAGTGTCGCTGGCCTTTTAATTATGACCAAATCTGCTGCAGATTTGCAGGGGGCAGCCCCTTCCCCCTTTGTGGGAGCCTTGGTCATACCCCTTTGGGGCTCCCCCAGGAATTTGGAGGCTCAAGTGGGGGAAGGGTGAGAAAAAAAGCTTGGGGAGGCAGTTGGGGGGGAGTGGGGAGGAAACATGCTGGAGTTAGGAAAGGAACATTCTGGGACTTTGTCCCCATGGCAGTAAGGCTAAGAAGAGAGTGGCTGCTTTGCAGCAGAAGGAACTGGGTTGTCAGGCTCTTGAATGGTTGGAGGGGTGTGAGCATAAGTGGATGCAGATGTGGATAGCTCAAGGGGTCTGGGGGCTTGGGGACGGGAGACATCTCCATCCCTTCCCATCCCTTCCTCCCCGCCCGCCCCCCCAGGCTGGGTGGGAGAGGAGGGACCACCCAACCTGGACTGCTGGGGATGGGAAGAGTGGGAGAGTCATGAACCCCTCGCCCCCAACCGGGACCAAGGAGAGTCTCTGGCCAAATCCAGCACTTGTAGCAGAGCCTCACCCTCAGCAGTGTTATTGCATCTGCCTGGTCCGCGTGTGTTGGCCAAGAGTCATGTAGAAATTAGACCCAGGTGGAGCCAGACACCTGGGTCTCTGTCACTCTATGTAGGGGCCTCGAGGACAGGATGTCTATAGAGAGTCGTGCAGCCTGACAGTAGAAGCAAGGAGTGTGGCGTGGCTGGGGCAGGACTGCTCTATCGCCTTCCACCCCTGGCTGCCTGAGTATTCCGCCCTGCAGTTAGTCCCAGCATCCTGCTTCCTGGTCTGATCTGATCCTCGGTACAAAGGGGAACATTCCATTTGTGTCTGTCTCCCTGGGTTCAGGGACCATCCATATCAAATCTGGTAGGACCCAACTCTGATTCTTCCCATTGCATTAGGGCTGGTGGGAGTTAGACCAAAAAAAGAGCTTCCATCAAACCTAAGAGCAGGTTGGAAGACAGGATCAGAAATCTGGAAAGGACTCATTTCCCAGAAACACTTGGGCATAGAGAAGAGGTTCTGAGGACCAGGGAAGAGGTGGGCAGTGAATCCCAGATGACCTGGGGCAAGGGGCAGTGCAGCCCAAAGGCAGGGGTTTGCATGACTCCCAGGGCTAACCTGGGCCCTAGCAAAGGGAGGCAGGTGTGGCCCAGCCTCAGCGCGCTCGGGACCACGGGGTGGAAGAGGGGCTGACTGTACCAGGAGGGATTACAGTTCGACCATGAGAGAATCTGCCCAGCACCCAGGCAGCCGGGCGGCTCCTCTGTTGTTTTTGGCTCCGCTGCCTGGTTCCCAACTCCAGCTGCCAACGCCCCACTCTCGCTCTCCCTCTAGCTCTCAGCTCTCCTCTGGCCTGGGCCAGACACACTGAGCCCAACCCACTGAGGCAGGGAGGGGGAGAGGAGGGGGGATGCACTGGATGAGAACATGTCCTGGCTGAATCTCTGTCCCCTGACAGGTCCCCAGCTCTGCTGGGCCTTTGCAGGGGGAGGCACAGAGGTGTGAGCAACCATCAAAGTGTCAGGGGAAGCCCACACAGGGCCAGGGAGCCATTGTACTGGTCTGTTTTGGGGTCCTGGGGTCTTTGCTTCTCTGCCCTCCACCACCAAAACAGACTTCTTTCTCCACGGAGGGTCCTGCCCAGTTTTCTCTTCTACTACCGTGAAAGGCGCCAAAATCCCACCCTCTCCCCTGCAGCCCCCTGCTTCTCCGGGAAACTTCAAGTTGGGGTGGCAGTCCGGTATGGCTGGGGCTGTTGGTGCAGCTGCTGACATCTGAAACTGGATGGCTGGGCCAGGACCTGGCCCACTGTGTTCCCCTTCTGTCCTGCCGAAGAAATGTCCCCCTCGCCCCCTGGGATCATTGCAAGAAGGAGAAATCAGTCAACACATTGAGCCACAGTGAGCCTCGGTTTAACTCCTCTTGTTTTTTTTGATCCAGTGAGTGTCTAGGACCAGACCCCCCTCCCACTGTCCGATACTGGTCCCTTAACCCCTGGCAGCCCAGGGCAGAAGGGAGAAGGCTGTTGTGGTGCGTTTGGCAGACTGAACACCTGGGCACCTGGGGATGGTGG